ACCCATATCGTATTTCCTATTGTATCAAAAAGTGTATAAAGGGCGAATGTTGCGTGTTCATATTTAGAATAAAACCAATGAAGGAAAACATTTCTAATCCAGCATCAGCAAAATCATCAAACAGGACTGCAGCAAATGATTGCTGTGGTTTGGATTGGTTTTTACAGCAGATCTTTTCAAGGAGGGTTGGGGGGCTTTGATGTAAGTGGCCATTATTGCTGATCTGCTTGTTATGGCCCCTGGGAGGTTTAGCGGGAGTCAGCAGTCAGTGGCCCCTTATGCTCCTTGGCGGCTTGATGTATGACACAGACAGGCAGTGGAAACCCTCCCATAGTTACTTCCTCCTCCCACGCTTCAGATAGGGGGGGGGGGGGGTTCAGCATGTGGGAGGAACGGCTGCCCCGTGGTGCAGCATTATCTGGTCCAATAGCAGCAACACTGGCATGCTCCTCCGTGTGATGCACATTCGAGGGCCAAGGAAGTTCTCCTGAGCACAGAGATGTATTGATATGCTGCTGGCTTTAAGTGGGGCTGCATAAGCGGCTTACTTCGCCCTTGCGATGTGAGGACCTGCCGCTGAACGTGCAGTACGCGCTCTTGCTCATTATAGTACGCCCCTGCACTCCAGGCACTGGCCCCCACGCCCCCCACGGCCCCCACGCCGCCCACGCCCCCCACAGGTCCATGACTCCAGCGCAGCTCAGCTTAGCTCTCTGCTTCATGATGAAGATTATTTGTGTCCTACAGTACTTTTTCATATCCATACTTCTCTCTTTTTTTCGTATTTTCACTTGAATCAGCATGTCAACGCACGGCATAAAGAAGAACAGTTTCCAGGGAACTGAATCGTGCAGTTTCCAGTTACGGAGAGTCTCAAGACTGATGAGAATGCAAATATACAGCTGGTCAAAAGTACTAGAACACCCCCATTTTTCCAATTTTATTGAAATTTAAGCAGTTCAGGGCCAGTGAATGACTTGAAATGGTACAAAGGCTAGCGGTAAACTGACAGAGGTTAACAAACAGTTTTGGTTGCTGAAAACTAAAAAAATATGCAAATTTATAAACATAAAAATTACTAAACACTTAATGCATTAATTAACCAGTAACTAAGTGTTAGTTATGTACTGTTAGTTGTTAGTTCATCAGTAATCAATCATGACAGTTCATGAATTTCATGCTTCAACTACATTAATGCATGTAACTGAGTAACTATGTTATCGGTGTGTGTGTGTCAAAGTGTTACCGGCCTTTTTCAGGGAGTAAAATAAGTAAAAAAAAAAAAAAACAACTTTTCTGTAGCAATGAAAGTAAGTTATGCCCTGAAATTTGATGCTAACGATTCCTACAGGTATTCCAACTTATATAAATTACATACAATCCCTCTGTCTGTACAGTATAAAAGCAGTGCTGGAATAGACTGTGTTACAACACCCACTGAACTGCTATTTGGACAATAGTATACTGCGGGAAGTTGTACTTTGCTATAACAAAGGTAAAAAAGGTGATTGAAAAGAAAGAGAGAAAGGCCATTGTAACCATTATAAGTGCAGGTATTTTCTTTAGAGAAGCTGCAAAGAAAGCCAAGGTGCCAGTAAGTGCAGTGTCCTACACCATCAAAAGGCATCTGGAAACTGGAGGAAACTCTGATAGGAAGAGGTACTCAAAGCTTCATGCAATATCCTCTTGTGTAAGCGTTGATCCTACAGTAAGATAATGACCCAGAATTACTTATATTAAAATCTATGCAAGAATTCTTGATGGTAAATATTATTTTAAACTAAATAATTGGATTATCTTCATCCATTTCTCATTTATCCCCATCCAGTTGACAGTCACAGTAACTCTTATTCTTTATTTCATATCTCATTGTTTAATAAGCGGGTGGCAGGGAAGCCTAACACCTCGAGGGTTGGGGGTTCGATTTCCCCCTTTGCTTTGTTTGTGTGAAGTCAGCAGGTTTTTGCTGTGTTGTGCGGGTTTCTTGCCCCAGTCCAAAGACATGCAGCTAGATTAATTAGCATATTTAAATTACCCATAGTGTTTAATTGTGTGTGCATGTGTCCTGTAATGGGCTAGCATCCCATCCAGGGTGTGACTTAGACTGTCTGTTATAGGCTCCAGGCCCTGTGATGCTGACCAGGATAAGTGCTTATATGATGGATGGTTTAACCAAAACATATACCACTTTAATTTTAACTTAGTTGTAATAAAGAATTTAGTATTTTTAATAGTCATATGGATGACTTAGCCTCTGTGCCTGTGAATGGAAGGTCACTGGTTCGAGCCCTGGCCTCAGCAGAATAGCCAAGTGCCCAAGGGTCCTTGAGCAAGGCCCTTAGCCCCCAGCTCCAGGGGTGCTGCATGCTGCCTGACCCAGCACTGGGCCCCCCAGCCTTGCTCTCTCCAGCATAGTGTCTATGTGTTTCATGGAGAGCAAGATGGGCCAGATGAGGAGAAGCATTCTAATGGAGCAGAACTTGTACTTGAGCAAATGGAAAATAAAGAATGATTACATCATCCACAGACTCCTCATTACTATTCATACAAAAACTATATTGTGGCATATAAATCGACAATGGTGTTGCGGAGATTTATCATGCAGGGAACAATATAGTTTAAGCACAAGGGGGTGTTTAATGCTATTGTATTATGAGACTCAGGCTAAGGCACTCCTTGGGTATCTTGATTGTTGTCTCAGTGTATCCTTCGACCGTGGTGAGTGATGTCTCATTGAGGGAGACATTTTACTCGCAACTTCGCTTGGTGCTTGACGGGTGCCCATGAGGTGACACTCCTCTGGTCATGGGTGACTTCAATACAACCACAGGCACTGACAGGGCTAGTTATGGGGATTGTGTCGGTTCCCATGGGTCTGGAGAACAGGGTGAGAGTGGCCCCATGTTCCTTGACTTTGCGAAAGGTCAGGGGCTGCAGGTTGCTGGATCTTGGTTCCAACGCCCTGAGCCTCATCATTGGATACTGATGGTGCAGGAAAGAGATCGATAACTTCCACGTAAGCAGACACTGGAGGCTCCTGCTGAACTGCAGAAGTGCCCAGTTTGTGAATTCTGACCACAGACTTGTTGTTGCTACTCTGAAGATTCAGCTTTGATCCAGTAGACTATCACCTACTAGGAGAATGAGGCTGGACTTGGCCAGACTCCAAGGTCAAGCTGTTTCTGATGAGTTTGCACACAGTATGTGTGAGGAACTCGCAGACTTGGGTGTGATTGCCGAATCTGATGTGATGTGGGAGACCTTTCGTGATAAGACCCTAAAGGTTGCCGAGGGTTGTGTTGGTGTTGCTGGTGTTCCCAGAAGGAGGCGTTTCATCTCACAGGTCACCCTGGATTTTTTCGAGAGGAGTCGCAGTCATGAGGTTGCTGGAAAAGGGTGGTTGGCAATCCTGATATCTTTGCAAGGTCTAAGTCTTTAGAGTCCTGGTGCTCCCTGTCTTGCTGTATGGCTGTGAGACATAGACGCTATCCAGTGAGCTGAGACGAAGACTGGACTCCTTTGGTACTGTGTCTCTTCAGAGAATCCTTGGGTACTGCTGGTTTGACTTTGTGTCGAACGAGCGGTTGCTAGAGGAGTCCCGAATATGGCACATTACCTGCATTGTGAGGGAGCGTCAGTTACGGCACTACGGCCATGTGGCGCATTTCCCTGAGGGTGATCCAGCTTGCAGGAACATAAAACATAAAAACAGTGATACCAGTGGCCAAAATGTAATTATATGCATTTTAAATGATAATTAATGATAATACATTAATACATTATACAGTATAATAAAAATCTCCTGTTTGAGTCTCAGGAGAATTGCCTAGTGAACGTGCCAAACTCGCTAACCTGTAGAGTTAGGAGTTTTGATGGCCAAAACGACTCCTCATGAACCATTTGATATATTTTTTGACCCCACTAGATGGTGCTCATGGTTTGCTTTGAGGCATGCTTTGAGCCCTTTCTTGAACAGAGAGCACCATCTAGTGGGGTCAGAAAATACAGCAAATGTTTAATGAAACATTTTTGGCCTTCACTTCACTAATAAAGTAAAATCCAGTTATAACGGACTTCAGGGGACCTGGCAAAACAGTCCATTATATCCAAAGTCCGTTATATCCAGAGTTGCTGTATGCCCAGAACACAACTACAGGACACCATTTACTCATGCCACACTCCAACAGACACATTTGTGGTATAGATTATTATATTGTACATGTAGTAATCCAACTTTACCTGACCAACTACTGTACGTATTTGCGCTGGATATCACCGGCTCGCCACGCGCCTTGTCGGCAGAGCCTGTATGTCTGTTATAGCAGAACAAAACTACAGCTAAAAGCGGCCCTGGGGACCAAATTGTTTGTCTGTTATAAGCAAAATTACATTATATGCAAGTCCGCTATATCCAATGTTTTTTCTGCATGTTCTTAATTAAAGGCGCACGGCTGGGACCAGTGGACCTTGTCCGTTATAGATGATATTCTGTTATAAGCGAGTCCACCATAACGGGATTTTACTGTACAGCAATTGTGTTAAAATAGATTCACGTTGTGATTGTGTGTTATGGCAGGAATGACTGAATTTTGAACTTTTTGAACTAATTCTGTTATTATTTGATGAATATCCACCACCTTCAATAGCTCTTAAATTTTTTTAATCTGCAAGTCTTTTAATTATATTTTAACTATACATTTCTGCCGTAGTTGACTTCATTAAACTGTCAGTTAGTTGTGGTCCAGATACAATAATCATTCATCAAAAATAAAACATCTATGATCACTGAAACACTTTATACCAGTCACGGTCCTGGCAGGTAGGCCTACATGTGATAAACGTTACCATAGAAACTTTAAGCACTGGGGGCTTCAGTGTGTCAAAATACAACACATTGCACATCCTCTGTGAGAACAAGACTTCTCACAAGAGGTTTTATGCCATGCATGGCTGTGTAACGTTTTCTGCACTGTTGCTTAATAATTCCCTCAATAAGAGTTCCTCTTTTTCAGAACGTATTAGGTTTCGCAAACAGTTAATTTCATCTCTTCAGCTTTATACTTGCAAGTAAGCTTATCACTCCACTTGATATATCGCTTGACTCCTCGACTATTGATCTGTGGAATGTCCGCTGTTTTAGGACTATTCTTAATAATGACAGCAGTATGTGGTAAGTAGCTTGTAACAGTTATTGAACTATGTGATGTGACATCGGATTACAAGGTTTATATACTTACAGCACTCACAGAAAGTCTTGCGACGCTTGCTTAATTCAAATAGTTTAACATCTGCACATATGTTTTGTACAGACTTTCTCTTTTTATTATGTATATTTCTTAATGACTTTTACTTAAAACTACTATTTAATGTGATACATATATTTTGTAAACGATTAAACTCATGATTTTGATGTACAACTAGTAAGATCATCATCAAAGTTAAGTAAAATATTAGTAATAGTAAATTGAAACCCAAATTTAGTTCTAAAAGGGTTGTCCTGAGTCTAAAAGCTCATTTACAAGCAGTATCAATCGGTGCTTTCTAATTAATAACAGCTTTGCCATAACAAAACACCAAACAAACCTGTGTTTAGTATCCTTTGGGAGCCAATGATTACAGCTGCTATATATATATATATATATATATATATATATATATATATATATATATATATATATCACATTAGAAACAACCACTAGTTTTAAGTATAATATTCATTTAAAGTAGTAAAATGTTCTGAATTAAAAGTTCATTGACAATCAGCCTACTTAGATGATTTTTAATTAGTAACACCTTTGCAATAACATAAAATACCAAACATTTATGTTTTGTATTTCTTTGGGAGCCTTTGGGAGCCTATGAATACAATTGCGACTAATAGCAAAATGGCAAGAACAGAATGAATGAGTCAGTCAAAAATATATGATGTTTTAATAAAAAGAAAATGTCTGTCTGGAAGATATGTACAGACATGTTAAACATTGCTTCTCAATGGACATCTATTATGAAACCAAAATTTTGACTGAATTAAGCAAGTGTCACCTGACTTTCCCCTGAAATTCTTGTTTTTATTGCATTACTGTTAATTTACTTATGTTAAATTGTCTTTTTTCGGCAAATATACATTTACCAGATAAATAAATTTAAACATTTTCTTTGACTGCCTAAAACTTTGGAAGAGGACTGTATGTGTAGAGTTCTATACATGTAATTCTTTACGAATATATGACTTCAACCTTTAATATTGGCTTGCTCAATACAAGGTAATATGGTCCTAGAGCCTATCCCAGGAATACTGGGTAACAAACAGTGTTGGGAAGATTACTTGGGAAATGTAATTCGTTACAATTACAAGTTACTCTATTTAAAATGTAATAGTAGTGTAACTACTGTATTTCAATTACTATATGAAAGTAATGCAACTAATTACATTTGATTACTTTTTGATTACTTTTCTAAATTATGAATGAATATTCTCAACCGTTAACCATTTTGAAATTTTGTAACCTGGTAGTGTTTACCTTACAGCAGTACTAAACACTGACTCCTGTCAAACTCCTTTCAATACATGAATTAACATGATTATAATTGATCAATTTAATAAAGATACCAAACATACCATACATACCATATAGGCTTAATAATGATTTTAAACAACGGGTAAGAATAGATCCTCGCTTCATACTCAGTGAAAACCCAGATTCCTTCAGTGTAACAAGTCATAACATTAATGTTATATAAAATATACCTAAAATGTCAAAAAAAAATTGTTACAACTCAGCCTTCAGTTATTAAATTCTAATGTGTGTTCATAATATAAACTTTTTGGGAGTCAAAACAAGATAAACTACGAGTGATTTGACCTCTACATGAAGCTTCAGGATTACATTACAGGATTACAAGGCTGCATCGCCCAGGGGTTATAGCTAGTTACTGAATTTTCAAAACTCAATACAACATAGCATGTCGGGAGTGCTAATATCAGACCTAACATAAGTTACCAATAACCTCTGAAGGGGGGCAGCACATTCCCAGAAGGGCCAGTGTGGCCTTAAAGCGTCGTGCACACTTCGCGATTCATTGTGGTGTTTATGCATGTTGTCCGTGGTTACGCATGCTGTCCTTGTTCTTTGTTTTTACAGATAATAAATGAAAGTATTTAATTCACTGGATAGAGATATTTCTTGATGAAAACGGTATAGTATTGCTTATAAGACTATATTATGCGTGACGATCTATTGTATTCACATGTAATAATGTACCTGAGTGATTTTCAGACATCTCACATACATATTTGCTTAAATATTAGGAGAAACATTACAGTATTTCCTGACATCCAGGATATTTGGTTCCCCCCTGCTAAAACAGGTATACAGCAACTCTGGGCCTCGGTACTAATAACAATATTGTATTCACATGTAATAATGTACCTGAGTGATTTTCAGACATCTCACATACATCTTTGCCTAAATATTAGGAGAAATATTATTTCCTGACATCCAGGATATTTGGTTCCCCCCTTTTAAAACAGGTATACAGGAACTCTGGGCCTCGATACTAATAACAATACTGTATTCACGTGTAATAATGTACCTGAGTGATTTTCAGACATTTCACATACCTCTTTGCTTTAATATTAGGGCAAACATTATTTCCTGATAGACAGGGGAAACATAGGGAAACCGAATTGCCTGGAACACCGGCACGGCTTTGTGTCTGTTGGCCCAACTTATGGCAACACCACCAACTTATTTGACAGACTCTGTTGGCAGATAATATTCTGTTTGGCTATTTGGATCATTTTCAGCTCCCAAATTTCACAAAAAACTTTTTAATATTGCAAGGTGAACTTTTTGCAATTTTTCCAGCCCTGTGGTAGGCAAACAAACCAGTTTGAGCAAGAGTGGACTAACTTCTCTGGGGGGCCAAAGCAGACATGGGTAGGGGGGCCCCTAAAGGAGCCATCTGAGCTATTCTTTGGAGATGAAAGAGAAATGAGAGACAGTTGGTCACATTGGTAGCATGTTAGTTTTAAGGTAGTATTAAGTCTAATAGAAAAAATACAATTATTTCCTAGCCATCTGCACACAAACAGACAGGGAAACTTCATGTCATTTTATGGTGCGTAAAAACAGGAAGAGAGATCAGTTTCATCTTTTCACCTCACTATTAATATCTGTGGTTTATACAAGTGCAATGAATGTGAGGAAGAGTGTCTGCATTGAATTTCTTGTTTCATTTGCAAATGCACAACAACATTAAGAGCTGACTTTGAAATCTGATATACATCCACTTTTAACAAATATATCAGTGTTCATTTATATTATCTATAAGACCTCAGTATTTTCCTGGAGGTACTACAAGTTAAGGTCAAAATATTATTATATTTCATTAGCAAATTAGTGCCAAAATCATAATTATGTATAATTGCAGCTTTGTTAATATTTCTTTTTATATATATATATATTTATTTTTGTAGCTCTTCCATATTTGTAGAAAGAAGTACCAAATGTCCAAATTATGTCACATTTCACTTTTTCTGGATCCTTCCAACCAGTCAGCAGCTCCAAATCCCATTAGTTGGGAAGCACTGGTTGGAAAAGCAGTCAGCTGGACAGGACGGCCCTGTGTGGGGTGATACCATGTTTATAAAACAAGGCTGAATCTTGAGCAAAGTTCACTACTCTAATTCATACAGCTCCTTGACCCAGTACTTCTGGGTTGAGGTGAGATCATGGAAACCGTCGCCATCATTTCCGGTATGAGAATAATGGCAGTCAGTGTCTGTGGTGATTCAGCGTCTGTGGTGTAATAGCTCATGACAAACTTTCTACTCCAGCAAGACCAGTAGCAGTTTATGCAACAAGGATGAAATTTGGGGGAAATGTTCCCTTTACTGTGGTGAAAACAATGCTTTTTAAACTCCTGTCTTTATCTTTTGGGAAAATCCAGAACTTGTCCAGGGATGGGAGAATTACGATAAGTCCAACCATCTACCATAATTTCTGAAGCAGGCGAGATAGAAGAATCTGTGATGATTCAGAGCCAGATGTGTTACACCCACCTCATGACAAACTGCCTACTCTGGCAAAATCAGTACCTGTACTTGATAAATTAAGGATTTATTATTGATATTGTACAATAAAAGTTTTTCCTCATCTTAAAGACAAAGATTAACAACATTCCTGCACTTCCTGTTCTACTTTTAGTTCATTTGCCAGAAGACTGGATTGTGTTATGGTTTCTAGCTAACAGGGATCATTCCCAGAATGTTAGTCAACGTTATGTGAATGTCTTCTTGTGAGAGAATGGGTCATTCTGAAGAGCTCAGTGAATTCAAGCGTGGTGCTGTGATAGGATGTCACCTCTGCAATAAGTCAGTTTGTGAAATTTCTTCCCTGCTAGATATTCCACAATCAACTGTAAGTGGTATTATTGCAAGTGGAAGCATTTAGGAGCAACAGAAACTCAGCCATGAAGTGGCAGACCATGTAAATTTAGAGAATGGGGTTGCTGAGCATTGAGGTGGATAGTGCATAAAAGTCGCCTACGCTCTGTTGACTCAGTAACTGCAGAGAGATTCAGACGTCCTCTTGCATTAACCGCAGCACAAAAACTGTGCACTGTAAACGCTGCGCAGTCAGCATGTTCCAGGCCTTCTGACTTAAAACACATGAAATATAATCTCCCAAACTCAGAGCACCATGTAGGCTACCCCTCCGGTAAATAATGGTTTGTTCCACTTTCACATTTTCTCCCCTACCTTTCAGCACCATATGGCGCATACACATCAAACCTTACCTCTCTTGTGTATGGTGCATTAATGTTAAACTGTGATGTTCTAATTATCAACATCAATAATCAACAATTAATGTACAAATTTTCACATTATACTCTCTGCATCTCTGTGGCAAGGCTGGGTAACATAAAAAAATATCTGAACACACGCACCACTTAATTTCTTTTAGCTGAAGGTCTGAAAATAAAATGTGATAAAAAAACATATACAGATAATCTGATAAACAGCCAGTGTTACGACTTGCTGATGGGTTGGGGGTGTTGCTGATTAGCTTTGTTCATCATTGTTTTTTAGTCTCTGTGGAGACTAATCAGCTTGTTGGACTTATGCTAACTATACACTAGGAGTCTTTGAAATACCCTTTTATGTGTGTTTTCTTCTAGCAGTTTAGGGTGAGAGTTGTAAAATAAGTCGATCACTTATAAGCAAACTGCCAATTGTTGCATTGAGGCTCGATGTGATCACGAGCACCCAAGGCTCATTGGTGTGCATTGGCAGAGAGGGCTAGCCTGTCTGCTCCAATGCCACAGGAGAGTTACTGTAGCAGAAATTGCTGAAAAAGTTGATGCTGGCTATGATAGAAAGGTGTCAGAACACACAGTGCATTGCAGCTTGCCTTGTATGGGGCTCCATAGTCACTGAGATCATAATACCCAAGCTGACCCCTGTCCAGCACCGAAAGCCCGTAAGTGTGCTTAGAACAGGCGTGTGAGCATTTGAGCTGGACCACTGAGCAATGGTGGCTTGGTCTGATGAGTCACATTTTCTGTTACACCATGTGGACGGCTGGGTGTGTGCACATCATGTACCTCGGGAAGTGATGGCACCAAGATGCACTATGGGAAGAAGGTAAGCCAGTAGAGGCAGTGTGATGCCGTGGGCAATGTTCTTCTGGGAAACCTTGAGTCCTGGAATTCATGTGGATGTTACTTTGACACGTTGACCATCCTTTCACAGTAGGAAAACACGATGGCAATGCATATACACTTACTGGCCACTTTTTTAGGTACACCTTGCTATTACCAGGTTGAACTCTCTTCTGTCTTATTTCTTCGTGACAGATTCAAGAAAGTGCTTGAAAGATTCCTCAAAAACTCCATGGCCCATGGCTGCACCTTCATGATGTGAATCTCCCATTCCACCACATCCCAAAAGTGCTCTATTGGATTGAGATCTGGTGACCATGAAAGCCATTTAAGTACAATGGATTCATTGTCATGCTCCAGAAACCAGTCAGAAATCAAGACCCACCTAACTAGGCAACATTTTTCCAATCTTCCATAGTTTCATTCTGGTGAGCCCATGTCCACTGTAGCCAATTCTTAGTTGAGAAGAGTGGCACCTGCGGTGGTCTTCTGCTGCTGTAACCTGCTGCTGTAACCTGATTCATGGTTTGACATGTTGTGTGTTCAGAGATGCTCCTCTGCATACATTGCTTATAACGAAAGGTTATTTGAATTATTGTTGCCTCTCTATCAGCTTGAACCATTCTGGCCATTATCTGACCTCTGCCATCAACAAGGCATTTTTGCCCAAAAAACTGCCACTGACCGGATGTTATTTTCTTTTTTGTGTGTGAAAATCTCAGTAGATCAGCAGTTTCTGAAATCCTCATACCAGCCTGACTGGCAGCAACAACCATGCCACGTCCAAAGGCACTCAAATCACCTTTCTTCCCCATCCTGATGTTTGATGAGAACATTAACTGAAGCTCTTGACCAGTATCTGCATGATTTTATACATCGTGCTGCTGACATGTGATTTACTGATTAGATATTTGCTTCAATGAGCAGTGAATAGGTGAACCTAATAAAGTGGCCAGTGAGAGTAGTTTGTAAACATGTGAGTGCAAATCCACAGCGTGTTACGTTTGAAATCAGTTGTTGCAGTTGTTCAGATAAATTAGACAAATTTTAATCAAATCAAACTAAACTTCACTGATCCCAGGTGAACATTACTAAATAATCATGGACTTCAGTGAGAACCGGTAACATTCGTGGAGGTATCCATCAGGGAATATTAGAATGTCTAACCGGAGAGGAATTTCCACTTCTATGTCAAACGTCTCTTGCTGATGCAAGCCGAGTCCCGCCCATCAAACCCGAATTTCTGTCAGCCAATCAGCTAGCGAGTAGGTTTAGTTCCACAGATTAGTTGCCACAGTGATTGACTGATACTAAGTCTACTCCCAGTTTCTGGAACAGAAAGCAAGATGTTTTTTAGTTAACTGAACAACTTATCAGATTTAAGGTAGTCTGTGCTAAATGTAATGAAGATAAAGTTCATTTAAACTGGGGTACCTTAAATCCAACAAGTTATGCAGCTAATCAAGAAATCCAGTTTACTGAAACAGGCTCCAGGATCATGCTGTTAACTCAGGATTGCACACTAATCCCGCTTTCTGGAATGCCCCCTAGATTAAGAACAAGAAATATAAAAAAGCAAGCAGGAGACACACAGGAAACAAAACATTCAGTATGAGAGGACATTCAGTAGTTTGCAGGGAGCAAAATGAAATCAGGTGCTTCTCATCTCAGGTTAGTTTGATGCATTACAGGTGTGTCTAGTGTTCAGGAGAGGCTGCACAAGGCTGACTTGATGCTTCATAAATACTCTCACCATAATCATCAAGCATTACTCTCTGTTTAGAGATATCAGCTTGCTAATTAATTATCACAATCAGTTTTTTGAATCCTGGTGTAATAATTGCTATAAGCGTAATTAATTTTTAATTATAAAAATCTTTGACAAAGATGATATTTTTCCTCACATTTTATTGCCGGTGTCCTCTGATTAGTTAGGGTGTTTTGTAATATCCTACATAGTGACTGATTTTGGGATCAGCAGGAAGTTCATGTTCTTCAAAATAATTCAGAATTCTTTGTCTTTTCTGACACTTCCAGGTTCTGCGGGTTCAGACAGCAACATTATAACACATTATGTAGCTCTGGGACGACCTGCATTTATACAGCTGATAAATGGAGCCAGTGGCTATGAGCTAACACTCAGAAAGGATGGAAATCAGGTCTTCAGGTTTAAAAAGGACGACATTAATTTTCAAGAAAATTGGGGATCTCAATTTAATTTTTATACAAATGGCACCTTGATGATCATCAAGGCAGAAAGAAGTCTTTCTGGCATTTATACTTTGGAAGTGTTTCACTTGAATGGCACAAATATACCGAGTGAAAGATTCCTCTTGATCATTGAAGGTAAGTTAGATATTTATCCATTGTGTAACTATGTCTGATAATTACAGACTTTCTTTGTCTGCACGATGTATCTGACTCCCGGCAGCCATCTCACCGATGAGTACTAACTCAGAGCAGTCACCCTGACACTGTGCGGGTTCCTCCCCCCAGAGCCTGTAACCCCCCCAGCTCTGTCTCCACTCTGCCTGCCCCACGGAGAGCTGAGGGTGTCCTGCTCCTCCCCAGTTGGGGATAATCCCCAGTACTCCTGGCTTCTGGATGGTTTGCCCCTGAATCACTCCAGGCCCGTTTATGATGATGGGAAAAGAGCTGTCATTCTGGGAAAGAACACGTCCGGAAAGCTCACCTGTACGGCCAAGAATAACGTCAGCAAGGCAAATACCACAGAGATGCTCCCCAGCTGTGCAGGTCAGTCCACAGTGTTACATTACTGCAGGCATGCAGGTCTCTAAATGATAACTCTAAATAAGGGCCCTTTATTGGCACAGAATCAATAACCTGCTATCAAAATGATCTGCACTATAATGTATAGTGAGTTTTGTCATTGCGATACAGGAATGAATCTGGAGATATTTTTATCCCAATGGGAAATTAAACTGAAATAGATGTGGGGCAAAAATGAAATAACACCAGTTATTTTGTCATTTTTTTGCCCACTATGTGACTGATTAGGACTAAACTCTTTTCTTCATAAATAATAAATGAATAATACATCATTTGGTTGGTTAGCATATCTCACTGCATATCATTTGAAACTACAGGACTTGGACCAGTTGTAAACTGCACCTTGACTAATGGTACAGAGATCGCAGTAAGAATGAATGCTACACTGGGCCCTTCTCTGTTATATAATATGAACATACTCTTCACTGTCGATGGGAGAGAGACACTGGCTGCTGTTTGTAATGCGAGTAGCCAGCAAACAGGAAAAAAAAATGATAATCATTGTAAGTGTAAATTATTATTATTATTGTTGTTTTGTTGTTGTTTAGCACTGGCTCTAGTGATTATATTTGTCACATTATTTCATAAGAATACAAAAGATAAATATGTACAGGATATGCATGCTGGAAAAATAATAAAATGTTTTCTTTTCCAGCAGTTGATATGATGCCGATGCTTTTGGCAGCACTGGGAACAGTGGTCCTACTCCTCGTATTAACAGTGGTGGTATACAGTTACTGCAGGAAGAGACCCCACGTGCAGGCAGAAGGTCAGAAATGAAACAGCAGCATTTGCTGTACATTGGAACTTAACAGCTACACAAAACTCATATAATAACCTGACTTATCTCCTTGAACTCCCTAGAGATTAAACCTGACACTGAAGAACTGACATACGCTCAGGTCACATTCAACAAGAATAAGAGCAGGAGAGAGAAGAGGGCTGAACCGGAGGTGGTGTATGGGGAGGTCAGGAAATAATCTAAGTGGCACCTTTGGCACAACAAGGACGTTATGTATGTAAAAGTGTATATGCAAAGTATAGTATTAGAGATGGTTTCAAAGAGCAAAATATGTGCCATGTGAGAAAATGGAATAATTTTTATTTTTGTTTCCCAATTTGTATTTATAAAAATGATCTTCAGTCCATTTTCCTGGGAAGGTTTTGCAATTTTATACCAATTACTTGATTGGGTTTTTGCATCACAGAATGCTCATCCAGTTAATAAAACAAGCTGTACTTTATTAATTGCTCTCCTTCTTAATTTTCGCCCTGTTTTTCTGAAATGGCCGTTTAATCCCAGCTCAAGTCTCCCCCCACCAAAGTAAAACGCCCCCACCGACCTGAGCAGGCTGACGGCCACAGCACGCCGACCCTGTAATATGTCCTGTCAGCCTCATGTCCTGCTCTGACAGCTAAAGGTACAATGACCCACGTAACACACTTGGTGGAAAGCGCTACTGGCTGGACTCCCTGCCCTGAGGCTGCCGGTGCTCTCTGGGCTCCTACTGACCGCTGATGTGGGCTGGGGGAGATCAAACTGGGATCCCGGCTGTAGGAGGCCCCCTACTGGTGAGAGGCAGAGTAACACAGCTGGCTGAGCCTCCCAGTGCCGGTGCTCTCTGGGCTCCTACTGACCGCTGATGTGGGCTGGGGGAGATCAAACTGGGATCCCGGCTGTAGGCCCCTGCTTTGCTTTACCTGCCACTAGGAAAGCCCCTTGATTTCAGCATTGTATTTTGTATTTTTTGTATTATGCTTTGTATCCCTTTATGGTAGCTTAATCATTGTATGTTTAATTTTTTTTAAGAACTGATAACTGAACTATCACTGAAGACCAAGCAGAATTGTACAGGTGTCTGTTTTGAATCATATTGCTGAGAAAAACCTGCATTTTTATTCATACTCAAGCTATTATTTAAGAAATAAAGACAACCTGGTAAAATATCCTGGCAAAAACTAAGTGGTTATAATTTTAATGATCACCAATCATTGTTGACACACCTCAGCACACAACAACAAAATGTGTCATCTGCATTTAACCCATATGTGACATCGTGACATACTGTAGCAGGGGACAACTAATTCAGTGCCCAGGAAACAGTGCTTGGGAGTGGTACTGTATCTTGCTCAGGGTACCTCAGTGGTATCTTCCTGGTCAGGGATTCATACCAGCAATCTTTCAATTACAAGTGCACTTCCCTAACCAGACCACCACTGCCCATAAGTTGTAGTGTTAAGCCACTCATGTGAAAAAATGAGGACACCCCATTAAATATTCAATTCTTTAGTAAGAAATATCAAAATATCAATATTAAATCTTTCAAATGATATCTGTAGATAAAGGTGATGTAATTGCATCACCTTTGCAAAAACGAGAAACAAATTCACTTATTTAAAAAAGGAAATTAACTAAGATGCCAATTCCTACTGAGGAAAAAGTTAGGACACCCTGTGCCCTAATAGCTAGTATTTCCCCCAATGGCTGAAATAAACTCAATGAGACGTTTCCTATAACCATCTATCAATCTTTGACATTGACTCGCCGAATGCTTTGGCAGAACGTTTTCCCCATTTCCTCCAATGCAGAATTCCTTAAGGGTGTCTTACATGCACTTCAAATCACCCCACAGCATCTCAATAAAATTCAGATGCGGACTTTGACTTGACCATTCCAGAACTCTCCATTTCTCTTTTGTAAGCCATTCCTTGGTAGATTTACTGGAATGTTTTGGGTCATTGTCATTTGCATGGTCCACCCCCACTTCAGCTTCAACTTCTGGACAGATGATCTCACATTGTCCTCAAGCACCCTCTGATATGATGAAGAATTCATAGTGGATTATATGATGGTGAGCTGGCCAAGTTCTGCTGCACCAAAGCAGCCCCAATCCATGACATTTCCACCCCCAAGCTTCACAGCTGGCATGAAGTTCTTTTGCTTTGGTTTACGCCAAACATGTCCTGTTACTGTGGCCAAATAATTCAATTTCAGATTCATCCAAAGCATATTGTTTATAGTGTTGCCCAGATGTTTTTCTGACAGCAGGGGTTTCCTCCTTGCACAGCACCCATGTAAATCAAACTTGTGCTTCTCTTTCTGATCTAATCTAATTGTAGAAATTTTAAATAGTGATGAATGTGAGGGTGTCCTAACTTTTTCCTCAGTAGAAATTAGCATCTTAGTTAATTTCTTTTCATAAATACAGTAAATGAATTTGTTTCTTGTTTTCTCATACATGATACAATTACATCACCTTTATCTACAGATATTGTTTGAATGAAAATTTAATACTGATATTTCTTAATGAAGAACTAAATATTTAATGGTGTGTCCTAATTTTCACATGACTGTACATCCATAATGCAACAAACAATTAACGTGTATCCATCCATGCATGTATGGACAGGAAAGTGATGCTCATAATGTACACATGAAGAAAGAGTAACAGCTGCACAAAGCACAGTAAGGTGGCTCGTACATCGCAGGCTCTGCGACGGATGCTTAGCTAGCAGTTTTCATTTCGTTTTATGAAACACAGTGCAGCTATTTTCAAGGAAGCAAACGTCAACCAAATAAACTTTGTAAAAGGCCTTAAGATTTTGTAACAGCAGTACAAACGTAAACCAGAACTGCATCAAGCACCATTGCAGCAATTCAAAAAGGGGAGTAGCGTGTGTTTTATGTGGTACCTTTTACTGTTTTACACACATCAATACACTTTGTTTTCTCACTCGATACTGTAATTGTTCATCCTGCCAACTCAATAAAATGACTTTAAAAATAAAGGAATGTTGAATGACTATGGTGCTTTTTCAGGCATGTGTACAGATTTAGCTCTAACATTAGCTAGCACAGTGGTGCCTGGTGAACTAATAGTATTGAACTGATAGTATTGTTGCTATTTGTTTATGATGCCAGCCAATGCTAACCAATACTGCTAGCTCAGCTGAGGAGGATGCCTTTGGTGTTTGGTCATGTTCTCAGGAGCACAGACTCAAGGCACCATACTATTGTGTAAAAAAACAGCATTTACACATTTGTTAGTGCTGCTGAGTAAGCACAGAGTAACAGCCACCCTGAGAACTCTGACCCCCAGCCTCGGCAGAATAGTCACATTTCAGCAAGGCCCTTAACCCCCCAAAATGCTCCAGGGGTGCCAGACAAATAGCTTGACCCTGATTTCAGATGCCAAACTTCGCTCTCAGTTGTAGGCATGTATGTGCGTGTCTGAAAGAAAAGAAAGATGGGATTTGTGAAAAGAGCATTCCAATAGACCTGTACTTCTGCAAATGGCAAATAAAGGATCATTTCATTTTGTAAATAGGGACGGTATTTTTTTTACAGACATAAATTTGGTTGGTCAGAATAGGTTTCTGAATATCCTTTGTCTTTGTTAGTTAATTTCATATGAATTGTGTTATTTATATAAAATTGTACCGAAATGTCACGGGAACCAGGGATCCAAATGCAGGACAACATGGCGGGAAGAACCGGGAACTGATAGAAAAGACGGGAGTCGTGGTCCGGTACAAAAGGGGGGGGTCGAAAAGCGACAAGGTCGGTCAAGAGGGGGATCAGACACAATCACTGGGGAGGGGATGAAGGGGAATCACACACACAAAACCAGACAGAAGGAGAATCAGACACTCGGGGGAACAAACCGGGGGCAAAAGAACACTCAGGGATCAGATATGAAATCAACAATTCCTCACAATGTGGGAAGCGACTAGATTGGTTTAAATAACCCTGGTAATTAACTAACAGTGAGCAGCAGCTGGCAGTATTTCAGCAAGAAAGACTGGGTGAGGGGGTGTGGCCACAGTTAGGGGGCGTGGCCAAAGTGAGGGGCATGGCCATAGTTAGGGGGCATGGCCACAGTGAGGGGTATGGCTATGGTTAGGGGGCATGGCCACAGTGAGGGGT